GGTGTCTTCGTCGACACAACTCTGTGACCGAAGAAGGGGTCCCCCGCCACTCTGGTACTGTGTGTCCACATACACCGCATCTAGCGTTTGAAAAAAAAGAGTTTTTTTATTTGTGAATGTATCAATAACTTTTCCTCATATATAGCGGTTCATAAGATATTTCGTTCCAAACACAGGTATAAGGAGTTGACTCGAGTAAAGAGTCTCGGCGCGCTGGGCCCTGTACAGCCGGTTGCCTGTACTTGGCGCGAGACTCGACCGAGTCTCTTGATGCAAGGAAGAAAGCCAATTTTATGAAACTGTATCCATGGGTGAGTTCCACTAGACGATCGTAATCGTAATATGTACCCACTGATGCTCGTTCCCCCCGACGTGGTTTAAGCTTGGTTCAATTTTTTAAAATATATTTGAGAATCTCCAATAATAGAGGTAATGCATTTCTGTGTAGACTTAAACACTACCGAAATTATTAAGTTAAATCTTGTACTGTCAATAAACAATATGAATGCAAATTCGTTGTATAACATTTTTTATTAAAAAAACAATAGCTGCTATGTCTACAAACTACTCACGATCCTCTTTAACATTATTATACTATCTGCGTAGCTGCCTTTTCAACTCTTGCTTTTTTTGGGTTTATTCCAAACTCTAATATCAAATCTGATAGTTTTTTAGACACTTCATCTATGTTTTTTAATATATTATCATCATCATTCTGTCCATCTTCGGTTTGATATACATTCTGTACAACAGCATCTTGTTGTTGCAGTTGCTGTAAAACCAAACCATCCGTTAACTCTAATACCAAATCTAATAGTTTATTAGACACTTCATCTATGTTTCTAAATATATCATCATCATCATTCTGTCTATCTTCAGTTTGATGTACATTCTGTACATTATATTGATGTTGTGGTTGCTGTAAAAGCAACCCATCTGTTGAAAATAGTTGTGGGCACACTTCCTTATCAAGAACAACTTCATTGTCACTTTCATTTCTGGAATTGTCACTCTCATATTTATAAAATGGAGACTCCCCACCAGAAACCTGCCTCTTTCTTCTTCGCCTTGGCGTATGTAACCGAACAGGGCTTGTCTGTATCATAAAACGTTGTCGTCTTCAAAATAGAGCCAAAGTTTATAATTTAAGAAATCAAGAGGAAGCCTACTTACTGCACTATCGTCATCACAGCATATAGCACAAAAACAAGA